CGGTTGAAAGAAGAAACAAAAGATATGGAATCGATCCCGTCAACAAAGAGCTCTCCAGAAGAGAGAGAGAGCTATGCACCATTTTGCTTATTTGGCGCAGTGGATCTTCCCCGAAGAAAGGGGATATACGACATAAGGTAGTCTGGACAAGTTTAGATTCCTCGAACGTAACTCTAACGAATTCTTAAAAACATTTACCTGTTTTCATACATCGAAGGGACAACAGCTCAAATTCGTAAGGGTTACAAATCCAGCTTCTCAGGCAATTTTTTGATAAAAATAATAATTTTCACGCGATAAACTGGCTACCACGTTCCCCGGATCTTTCAAGCCCTGTTTCCTTCCTATATGGTTATTTAAAAGAAAAGGTTAATGTCTACAAGCCTCCTTCAGACTCTCCAACAGCTGAAGGACAGCATTCAGACTGGTATCAGAGCACTTGATCCTGAAACACTGGAGATGTTTGTGATTGAAAATGCCTCAGAAAGGTCACGTTTATACGAAGCTGAAGCTGGATGCCCCTTAAATGATGTAATATTTCTCAATTTATGTAAATTTATTTCTTATATCTACTCTATATCGTGGTCGTCGTTGGCGGAACTCGTTGCCGAGTATTGGGGTGATCGTCGACATTCCCTTCTGTCTTAAATAAGTCCTATATTGGATCTGAAGAGATATCCGCAGCCACCGTATCGTAGAATAGAATGGTTCAGCGGACGGAGAGCTTTGGCTTTTCTTTGGGCTCTCTTCGTCTACTCTATTTGCCTTCCGGTTTTTCTTTTTCGAAGGCTATTGTTTTTTCGTGAACTGCTCTTCTCTTATTGGTTCTTTTTGTAACTTCCGACTCCCAATTGACTGAATCGATTTCTGTCCCTAGCAAAGTGTTTTTGAGTTGATCCTTGAATCAACGACGTAAGGATCCACGTGGTCTCTTGCTAGATGCGAGCTCCTAGAAGAGGATTTGTTTGGGTAGGCATTCGGGCAAGGTGTCCGGTCCATAGAAGTCGGCAGCGAGCAATGATGGTTTCTAGGCTCTCCATCTTTGCGCGAAGGAGAACTTCCTTGTTCGTGATCCGTTCCTGACACATGTTCCGCAGGATTTGATGAAGTTTCATTTCATGGAATCGTTCAAGTATCGCCATTTTCTTCCATGTGAAATGAATCCTATGTTAGATCTGAAGAGACATCTGCAGTCATCGCATGGTAGGGTAGAAGGATTCAGGAGACGGAGAGCTTTGCCTTTTCTTTAAGTTCTATTCGTCTCTTCTGGTTTTTTCGAAGGATAATTTTTTTTTTCAGGGACTCCAATTCTCTATATAATAAGAGTTGAAACACAGGTTCCCCTACGATCACCGAATTTAAGCAACATCGAGCCTGGTCAGTACTTAGATGGTTGGCCGTTTGAGAATACCAGGTGATCTAAACTTGGATGTGCGGGTGCTATAATGGATAATTGCTCGGAATTGTTAATTGGAGAGCAGAGTTCCAATTCCTGTTGGGTTTGGTATATTCCCTTACGCGCAAATATCTTCGGTAAGGTATAAACCAACCCTTTCTCTCCCCAGCTATGGGTTAACTTGTAAGACTTGTATCACTAAAACAATTATTATCCAAAAATAAACAAAATTGCGTAAAAAGCATTCCAGCATTAAATAACCCATAGAGCTGTTGATATGCCGCTAAACAAAAACAATCAGTATCTATACAGAGTGTATCAAGAAGACTGGTAAAAATTTGGGGAAAGATTCCTCACACCAAAACACAGACAAATGTCTATATAAACATATGTCCTCCGTTTCTTAGATATGTCTAACGTTTAAGGTAGATGCTGTTAAATGTAAAATCCAAGATACAATCCAAAAATACTTTTACAAACTTTTTGCAAATGATACGGATACAGGAGCTGCTCTTGAAGTACTCTCCATTCGGTACTATGAGATGTACGACATGCTAGGTCGACGTGACGTGTGCTGATACCCGGATCGTCTTCGACAGCCTGTAGAATATGTTCTTCGTGGTCAGGCGTACGAGCGTATCTCGGTCTTCCTCGATCTATAGTTTGTGGAGCCACGGATGCTGTCTGAGCAACGCGACGATAAACAGCAGCGAAGGTTGGGTAACTCGGCTGCTTTCGGTTTGGAAACGCAATCTGATACAGCCGTGCAGCCTCGCGTTCATTACCATCTGCGCGGCCGTGTGTAAAAATCATATCTACCCGATCACGATATGAATACCCTGACTTTATTAAACGGAAAGCTTCTCAGTTAAGTCACTACTACACACGTTAAACGTTGAAGACAGACTAGGCACAAATGTACACGAATGACAAATGTAACCTAGTCTGCATGGCAACACAGCGCCATAACTTGCTTTAAACTCATTAACTCAAAAACGAATGATTTGCAAACGTGTTTATATGGACTTTTGTGCTTGTTTGGGTGTGAGAAACATTCCACCAAAATTTGTAAACGTATTTTTGATACATTCTGTCTAATGTCTAATACTATGGTATCGTGAATTAAAATTAAAAAAATAAAGGAGTTATTAAATTTTGAAAACCCTTGGTGACATTCACGCCACGCTGTACGGATTTATAAATGAGTCTTTCATATGCTCTTTGAAAGCAAAACTTACAGAAAATGTGAACAGTTAAAAGGTGAATACCGATAGCGACACCTTTTGCGAACTAATTGTGAGCGATCACTCTGAGGACTATTTCGAAAGAGGCGGTGTAAAAGACTAGTTGGCGTAATTTTTATTGGTCATATTCCTGTAACCTTTAGGTAACATATCCTTTATAAACGTAAGTTATCTTTTTGCTGGATACACATATTCTTCTTTCTTTTTATGTATCGTGTCCTTTCAGGACGTAGACGATCATGGCTCTTCACTTCCCCCTATCCCTTGTAGCTCTCAATAAGTTTTGTGCCTCTGCTAACTCCCCCAAACCACGTTCTACTATCCACTTACCTAAGCCCGCCACGTATGTCACGCGTGCATTCCCTTGTCTCTTTTTCCTCTATTCGACCTGTGAGTATCAGATTCTCCAGGCCCCTCTTTCTCATTATGTGTCTCAGAAACTTCATCCGCCTCTTCCTCATGTTGAGTATAAGTTTCCTCCTTGTTTGCATCCTTTCCAAGACCCTATCGTTGTCCACACGCTCGCTCCATGATGTCCTTAGCTTCCTCCCGTAGAACCACATCTCCGCTACCTCGAGTCTCTTCTTCATCTTTGAGGAGACAGTCCAACACACAAATACATATTTTAAAATCATTTTACTTCAATTAAGGCAATAATGCCACTAAGACGCAAGCAGGAATTAATGAGGTTGAAAGAATACGACAAAAATGGAAAACATAACTAAGCAGAGAGAACAATAAAAGAACAGGAGTTAAGAAAACGGAAGATACTGATTGACATTGCATTTCAGTTTTTGAAGATCAAATTTACTGGAAAGCCAAGAAGCCGGAAGAAGGAAGAAACTCCATCTTGTCATTTTTTTCTTCAACTGTAAAAATATGCCAATCTATTACGACGCTTAAATTCGGAAAATCAAGGTACCAAATATATATATATATATATATGTATGTATGTATGTATATTTTAAATAAAAACAGACCACTTTAAGGTTCCATGTAATAAATTATTTCACCACAGGTCAAAAAGGACTGCGGATCATCAAACTTTACTTCCAAACAAAAAATGAAAAGAAAATTTACACATTTTTGACAAGACGTATTAAACATATGTAAATTAACGAAGTGAGGAAGTGAGGGGGGAGAGAGAGAAGACATGAGTGAGTTAGCAGATATTGACACATTTAAACGGTTAACTTAACGGAAGTTATATATTGATATCGAAGGGGTAGAGAAGAAAAAACCCATAGAGAGAAAAAGAGGGAAGTTAAGAGAGAAGAAGGTGTCACTAATTTTCTTTGTAAAAAAAAAGGCTAGAAGCAGACGCTGTTATTTTGATTTACTTTGAAAGTGTTATTTTGGGGGTTCATAAAGATTATAATGTTTGATATAAATTTGAATGTCTCTAGACTGTCTACAAATAATTTAATTTGATGTTTGTTAATGATTTAAATTTTGGGGATTTTCTATGAAATAGTCGATTAGAAAAATATTCATAGAAAGTACATTAAAAGAATAAAATCTTATTAACCTTAAAGTGGTCTGTTTTTATTTAAATTATTTGCTCTGAATTTACATTGAGCTCTCTGGATTTTATCCTCCTTAGGTTTACCCATACGGATTACCTAGTTTTTCATAAATTAACAATATATATATATATATATATATATATAGGGAGAGCGCGACTGCTACTAAACAGAAGTTCCTGGGGTCATTTTTTTTTATCATTTCACCCCAAGCAAGCAAACAAACCCACGACAAGACATTCGCTTACTGTGCGAAAAAATACGGGGAAAGAAAAATATTATTCATGAAAGAAAACAATAAAAAAAATGACATTGCATTTAAATTTTGGGTGATCAAAGTTGACTGGAAATTAAGAAGCTTGGAGAGAGTTCAACAAGCGAGAAGTGCGAGAGAAGGAACTGTTAGCATAGAACTTACGGTTACAGCTAGCCATTTCAACTTAAAAAAAAAAACCAGACTTATCGGCCAAAGTGGTATCGGTATAGTACCAAAGATGAATCATCAGAACAATTACGATGAAAATATTTACAGAAAAGTTTCAGAGATGCTACTTTACGGCGGTGGGAAAGTCACTGAAGCCGAGATGTCTGGTCAGGACCTATAACATAGCAGATTTTTCAAAAACGTTTTAAAATTTCGCTTTAAGCCAAATTGTTGTTCACGGTAGGACTGCATTAGTACAGATTTCTTTTCCACATTCGAAAAGGTGTGTGTAAAATAATGCAACAGAAATAGTTTTGTTTATTTTTTGTATATTAAATGAGCTTTCGACTAAAGGTCTGTACAAAAATGAAAATACTTTTAATATGAGTTAATATAGAATAATATGATTTTTTAATCATGTCACCCTAAACAAGACGATAATGCCACAAAGACGCAAGGTGTTACTGAGAATTAAAAAGAATGTGAACACTTTAAGAGAAGGAACCGGAAGTTCAATCCTAAATAGGAAACGAGGGACAAACCTCTACTCCTGTTCAAAAAAACGGGGGGGGGGAGTGTGAACCTGATGATAATGAAATCGTATATATTCTAATGGAGTACAAGGTGAATACCGACACCTTTTGCGACCACATTTATGAGCGAACACTGAATAACAAGAGGACTACTTCGAAGGAGGCAGTGTAAAAGACTAGTTAGCGTAATTTTTATTGGTCATATTCCTGTTACTTTTAGGTAACTTATCCTTTATATACGAAAGGTTATCTTTTTGCTGGATACATATATAAACAGATCCCCTCCTATATGAAATCAGATTTCGAGTAAAAGGTACGTAAAAAAACGAAAATATTTTTGATGCACAATAATAATAATAATATCGGAGAATCATAGATAGTCTATAGATGTACTTATGTAATATTTATGAAAAATGAATGAAACTAATTTTAGCTGAAGAATGAAGAAGAAGATATCGCTTTTAGCTGTAAACATGAATTAATGAACGTTAGAGTAAATGTCTCAATAAAAAACGAAAATAATTTTTGTACACCCTAATTATTATCCGGCGTGTGATACTTACTAATTTCCCTCTACGTGTTCTCTTTGTTATATATATATATATATATATATATATATATATATATATATATATATATATATATATATATATATATATATATATATGGAGGCGAGGCTTTGGACAGGAACGCATTATCGCTTACATCCGTATGTTTCCTTTCAAGTCGAAAAGAAATGGAAGATAATTTTTTCTTTTAACTCCACCTCAAACATTTTTTTAGACAAATGATAAATGATTTTCTGGTTGCCTATGGCGAGAAACGAATGCAGTATTGAGATTCTGACTAAAAACTCGGAATAAATGGAAATTCGTAACGTAAAGAGGCCTTCTTATTTTGCTTCTGGTTTGTGTACAGTTGAAGTTTTAGGTCAGATTTTTAAGCTGACATTGTATCCTACAGAAGCAAGTGAAGGAAAGCAAGAAGAAAGGATTAAACATCAACTTCAACAAGACAAAATGCATGATTGTTAGTGATATGTCCCGGAAAGGGATATATTTGTTCGAAGTAGCAAAGTGGCTGTGGACTACTGTAACCGAGTAGGACAATCTAGCAGGTAACCGTAATGGACTGGTCCTCGTCGTAGTGGTAGGCAATAGGCGTAGGAAATAGGCGAAGACAATCGGCGTCGCCAATAGGCGTCGACCTGTACCTCCACATCAGTCTGTATTTATGGCTGACACCAGCCAATCATATTACTGTGAGGGGGCACCCGGGTGTATGCATATTCATTACAT